ATAGTGTAAATTTACCTTAAGTTTGGTAAAGGAATGAAGAGAACATATGATGAGGACGTTTTCAATTGATGACAGTCTTGTCTTCCTGCGTTGCTGTCCTCAGAGTCCCTGCTCTGGGAGTCTTTTACAGGTGAGAACATTTTTTCCTGTGATTCTTTTATCAGTAGAATAATTCCCTTAGATATAACACAAAAAGGAACCCATCATTTTTTCCAGACAAATTGTGAGACTCAGTCCATACTTCATCATTAGAAAATTTTATGTCCTTGATTATTTAACCTCTACCGGTTTCATTTCAACAAATATTTGAAGACTATATTAAGGAGAATTAATTCATCATACTTGATGCTCCGGGTATTATTAAAAATGAGAGCACCCAATTCCAGTCCTCAAGGAGCTTACAATTAAGGCAGAGGACGAAGTACAAAAATATTTGTGAAACAAGGCAGAGGAATGTAGCTCATCAGTAAAGAGGCACAAATTGTGCTCTGTGCTGTTCAGAGGCAGAAGAGGGTTTGTTTACGGGAGGAGGGCAGGAAAGGAATCATCTTATAGCTAACACCTGAAGTGAGCCTTGAATGACTGCCAGAATTCCCATAGCCACTTCGCCTTTCAGTGGGATGCAGCAACATGAGTACGCTGAGACATGCTCATTCTGCGGTTACAAGTCATTAAATCTGGTTGTGGTAAAATGTACATTTAAGGGAACTGATAAGAGTAGATTGGGTGATGCTGTTTAGGACTCTGAATTTGGCAAAAGGTTTTAATTCAGCAGGAAATAAGAAATCTCATGTTCTTCATCTGAATAAGAAGTGGGCTTGTTGTCTGTGGAGTCTTCCAACAAACATTTATTAAAGAAACAGTCAATCCATAATTTCATAATTATTTAGTTACAATGCCCTTCCCCGTACTATGATTCTATCATTATTTGTAAGTATATTTATTTGGACTAACAAAAAAATGGATGGATTTTGTCCACTGAAATTTTTTGACTCTAATGCTTCCACATTTGAACACAGTCCCTCCACCTTAGAATTCAGTTAGAACTTTATGTCTACTTTGTTTATTGCATTTTGCATGTTCATATCTTATTATTACGTATTTATACATGTCTTCTTCTTCTTTTTTTTTTTCCTGAATGTTAAACTCCAGGCAGTGGGCCCATGTTCAATGTATCTTTGTATACTCTGCAGTGGTCAGTTTAAGAAGCGTTCAAAAATATATGTTGAACGAATGAACAGTGTAATTAACACCTGCTTCCTAGTGAAATCACTAGGCTCAGTTTAAACGGCTTAAATTACATACTAATTTTTACCTGGAAGATTCGTGTTGAAAATGATTGAAAATCTTATTTAAAAGGCCAATTTCTTGGCTCTCTTAATACCACTGCTTTATTAATTTGTTGGAGATAAAACACCACATTTTTTCATGTTTGTTATATTTTTATTACAACAGTAACACATGTTCGCTGTAGAAACTTTACACATTACATATAAACAAAAAGAAAAAACCAAAATTGTCAAAATCCCAACCTATAAGTAACCACAGTCACTGTTATAGGGTAGTTTATGATGCAATCTATGTACATTTTTTAAACGCTTTTAATAAACATGGCTAATTTGCCCTTTAGAAACACTGAACTATTATATGTTCCTGGAATTGTTGAGAATGCTCTTCGCTTATACTAACACCACGTCTAATCAGCAATATTAATCTTGGCAGAATGGGCAGGGGAAAATAGTTCCTTTATAAATGTGCATTTCTTTGCATACTAAATTGAATATTTTTCATAAATGTATTGACCTTTTCTATTTCCTTTGTAAATTGCCTCTTTGCTTTTTGGCCTAGTTTTCTATTGGAGTATTTCTTTCTCTCTCTTTCATTCTGTCTCTCAAATGATTTTTCAGAACTGGATGTATATTAATAAACATTTTCCCCAGTCATTTGTCTTTTACCATATTTCCTTTCAGAGTCACTGATCCCTAGGAAGAGAGTCTAATAAACTAAGTGAAAGTCACATCTATGATTGCCTCTTCCTTTCATTTCTAAACTGAGTAAATGTCATGAGCTAGAATGTCTTCTAGGAAGGGAAGCAAACCTAAAAACAACCAATGGAATATTATTTTCTCTATGAAGATAATTATTTTCAGAAACAATGGTAAACACAGCATTTAATATAAAAAGATGCCCTCATTTACTTTTGGCAATTACTAAGAATTTAGAATTGATATAACTACTTTCTTTTTACCCTTAAGAATATCATACGTAGTGCTGGCCTAAAAAGGAATATAATGGGAAGTGCATGCTAGGGATGACAAGTCAGATTTGGTAATTACAGTAAACAGTAACGTCTGTTCATCCACTATTGATGCATTGAAGTATTTCCATGGGATATGTAAGGGAGTCATGTATAGCTGTGCCCCATAAATTCAATAAAGAATGAACACTCTTATGGTTTGGTAACTGAGAAGTTAGCTGGGGGCAATGGTGAAATTCTTTCTTCCTGAAAAATGGAAACTATGAAGGCGGAGAAAAGTGAAAGACATTACAAAAGGGAACAAGAGCAACATGACTGGGAGTACAGAAGTATAGAAAAAAAGAAAAAAGAAAAAGACACAAAGCAGAAGAGATTGACAGCTAAGGGTTAGGAGAAACACATTTTAAAAATTTATTAAATTAAAATTATCAAAAATGGTACAATGATCATTGTAAATTGTTAAATTTATATCAGTGGGGCATTACAAATATGCAACAGTGTTTTTTTTAATGTTTTCAAAGGAATTTATCCCTCACATGACATAAAAACATTTACTTGTATCTTCCTTTAGGCATAAATGTTGAAAGAAGTTTGTTTTTAAACCTGTTAAAATTTTTAAGTACATACATGCACACAGATGAACTTGATGTTAGAAGGGCTGCAAGCTGTTTGTTAAAACTTAGGGTCCTGTCAGATTCGCCTAATATTTTCAGATGTTCGTTTACCAGCAGTAACTTCAGAAGCAAGAAGAAAACCTGATCATTTACAATTGTATTTGGCTGAAATAAATACAAGGTGTTTGGCTAAGAGTTCTTTCTAATTGAAGTCACTTTAAAATTCAATAAAAAGAATTAGCTAAAGAAGCAAACCCTAGGTATACAATACTTTGTAATCATGAAACCAGCCTAGATTCAAACCCTTTCCTGAAAGAAAAATAGAGAAATATTTGTTGACCCAGGGATGTTGGTGTATCTAAAAACAGAATAAGCAACAGATAATAATAATTTGAAGTTTTATTTATTCATTTTTCGCTTTCTTCCACAATCTTGTTTGGGTCAATGTTAGGAATAAGAAAAGGGCCATTTTGAAATAGAAACAAGAATAGAACTAGTTAGCTCTCTCATAAATATGTTAACAATTATGAAATTATTAAAACGTTTAAGAAAATAATTCTAAGATAAACTTGATTTACTTGTATTAAAACAAAAATTAGAGACAAAATTGTGGACTTCCTGTTAGGTAGTTTTAAAACATTAAATAGTTTCAATTAAGTGTAAATAAGGTGAATTTAATAGTCTGACAAAGAAATAAAGCCTGGACACTCTTAGTTCAATTCACTAGTGATGGAAAGGTATATAAAGTAAAATTGCTTAGAGAAAGAAAAAAGTCAAATGGGATAATACTTCAAGAAAATAAGAGTATGATCACCAAAAGTCTAATGAAGGTTTGTGAATCATGTTTTGCAAATGGCCATTTGAGTAGTGTGACTCATGCAATATCCTCCCTCCTTGGCCTCTTTCCACAGTCAGCCAAAAATTAGTGATGAAAATCATATGAGAAGGAAATGTATCAGATGGTTTTAAATCCTGACATAGAAACATGGTTTGCAACACCATGAATGCCGAACTCGAAAACTGCAGGTATTCTGATTAGGATGAAAGACAAGTTTAAAAATCATGAGTGATACTTTAATGGTTTCACTCCAAATGAAGTGGAAAAGAGCTATCTTTTAAATTTTTTCTTAACAACTTTATTTTTTGCCTGCCTGATTTTATTTATTCCCTGATCTGTGAGCCCTGATATGTGACGTGTATTTCTATAGTTCTAAGGTAACTTTGAAGCTTCATGATTTTCACCATTGTGGATCAACAATATAATTTATCCTATTTCTCCCACTGCGGCAATACTGAAATAAAAATGTTAAACCAGTTTATCTGTTTTCTAATGCCTGGTTTACTCTTCTGAATTCTATAAATCATTCTTTTTTTCATATATACACATACATATGCATACACTATATGTATACATATATAAATTTACTATATATCCATACACTATATATACACATATATAGGTATATATACATATATTGTAAATTTATATATATACATATATAAACTATATATATACACATACATATATAACTACAAATAAATATGCCTACAAATATCCATATATACCTCCTATATATGTATATAAACCTACTACATATGCCTACAAACATATACATATTCTCTCCCTCTACACACACATACATGGACCTACACAGAAATCTGCAGGAAAATGACACCTTCACATATTCAAAGGGATCCCCAAAGAGTTCAAAAGCCAAGATTGGAAGCACCAATACATGGAAAGATGTATTTAAAATCACAAAATACTTCTTGGACACTGAGAAAACCCAAGCCACACAAACGTTTACATATGAGCGTGATGAGAAGGTGGGCAGACTGCCTTAATTAACTTTATATAAACTCTTGACATAAAAGTGAAAAAATGAAACATAAATGATATCTTAGCTCAATCGTTAAAAAGCCAATTACCTACTTGTGAACGTTTGCCACATACAATAATACTCTAAAGACACTTCATGATCAGAAGTGAGAAACTCTAGGCATCTGCATCCAACCGTCATTTTATCTGTGAAACTGCTAGTAAAGCATAAACCTGAAAGGCATTACTCCCAGCTCTAAGGCAACATTGCTGTCATTAAAGAAAACCTGTGCCTGAGTTGGCTGAGTACCTTCTTGCAGAGTCCTCTGTCCTCGCGGAGTGGGAGGGTCACACGGGGAGAGACTAATAAGGGCAGAGATGCGTCCCCCTTCCCCACTCGCAGGGAGCTCACTCCTCGGCGGTGCTGCAGCCCTGTCCGGACTCCACTGCGCCTCTGAGGGGCTCAAACACGAATTCAAGGTAAGCTGCGCGGCTTTGCGACCGGCCCTGCACTTGCCCTCTCACACATGCCCGGGCTATGTCATCTGCTCGTGTTTCTGATTATCTGTGTGCATCTGCTTTTCAAGAAAATGTAAAAACTGTGCTACACATGGAAATACGTTTAGGTGGATACATAATGCACACCTGCATACGTTCCCATAGGTGCTTTAAGGACGGGACCAAAAACGTTTGGCAGGAGACGGCCACTCTCATGGGCTACATATCATGTAGTTCGTGTTCCTATGTTCACATGATGCAGGCTTCATGCACTACACTTAAGTTCTAGGTGGTTTTTCTGGCTATGTGTGTCTGTGAAGCGGAACTATGAGCACTGCTGATGCGGGTAGGGACAGACATCAAATACATTACAAAAAAAATGAGGGGTTAAAGGAGCAAAACAAACTCACTATCAATTCATGCCGTTAGAGCGCTTTTTTTTTTTTTTTTTGACGGTGTTAGCCCTGGAAGCGAGGGAGCCAGTTAAGGGGCGTAAGCTAAGAGACGCGGGGTTCCGCTGCGCTGCCCTCGGGCCCGGGGTTACCTACTCCACATGCGGGTATTTCTCCCAAGTGCGGCTTCTGGGGAGCGGCGCGGGCGCGGGCGGGGATTCCAGGATTGCAGCCCCGCCACGTCCCGGAGCGTTCGGCCGTGTTCCTTAATTACCCTGCAGCATGCGCAGCGCGGCCAGCCAGAGCGCCGCCGCCGTCGCCGCCGTCCCCGCCGTCCTCGCTGCAGCCACTGCCGCCGTCGCCGCCGCGGGAACGTCCCAGTCGCCGCGCGAGGAAGACGCGGCCCCAGCCTCCGCCGCCTCCGCTGTCAGAGTCCCGCGGCCACCACCGAGAGCGCGCCCGCGCCGCCGCCACCGCGGCCGGGAGCAAGGAGGCGGCGCCGGGCGGCCCAGCTAAGGCGCTGCAGGGTCGCGAGGAAGTTTGTTGGCCCGGAACCAAGCACGCCGTCGGGCACGCTAGCTCCCCGAGAGCAGGCGGGCGCGTAAGCGAACCCCCTTAGAGGTTACCGAGGGAGCGGGAAGCCGGAAAAAGGGTGGGCAGAGGAGCTGGGGGACAGGCGAGTGACCTAGGAGCCCCAGAGGAGCTTCATTTGATGAGAAGGTGAAGAGGCAGAGGGGACCAGCGTGCCTTGTCAGCCTCAGGGGACAGTGGGCTGCAGAGCAAAATGAGGAGGGCCCAGAATGCTGATAATGAGTAGTTTCAATAGAACAATCCGGAAATAGAGGCAAGGGAGTGATCATGAGCCACGACTTGAGATTGGGAGATGGAAGGGTAAGGGAAATAAATTGTGCCACCTCCCTCAACCCCTAATTCCAAGACGACTCAGTCCCATCTTATGCTTGGATAAGTCTGAGGAGGATTAAGATGTGAGGATAATCGCTCTGCTCTAGGGGAATTTACATCTGCCTGTTAATGGAGGAGATGAAACAAAAGCACTCCAATACGTATTTTCAACCACCTACCCCCCCCCCCCAAAAAAAAGAGAGAACACCGACGCCTCCCCCTCTGCCCAAATCAAACACCATGATAATTCTTTAGGAGACTAAAGGGAAAAAAAGAAAGAAAAAAGCCCCTGCTCGTATGTGTTGTCTTAGCATCTCCTTGTTGTTGACTGGTGGGAAACTTGCAGGACCCTCTCTAAGTAGAGAGATCTTTGATATGGGCCTGCAAAGCTGAGATATTTAGGTATTCCAGTGGTTAAAAACATGCATAAATGCCCCTTCCTGTGGAGGGCTGACAGGGTTTTTGTGTAGGAATATCTCTTCAGGATGAAAAAGAGGAGGGTGACCCCCAGAGGTAGAAAGTTTATGCTCTCTCTAGGGGATAGAAAATGGAGAAAGTAACTGGCAGGTGCTTCCATTACGTTTTGTCCTACCTGAGCTCTCTAAGTGGTAAGGGACCTAAGTGGAGTTTCCTGGGAAAAGAGAGAGACAGCGTGGCAAAAGAGCAAGAAAGTGAACCTGAAACTGAAATGGACAGGTCCAAGAAAGAGCAAAAAGGTGAAAGAAACCCAAATGTGATTATTATCACAATTGGGACATCATCTCTGTATCTGAATCATTCTCATCCTAGAAAACCATCCAAAACAGATGGGAGCTGATGGTATTTTCCAAAAATGGAAAATTTCCATCTACTTTCTGGTCCTCCAGTTTAATCTCTCTTGCTGCAATTTTAGTTTATTTTCTCCAGCAGGCAGAAATGCCAATGTGGGTACACAGAGTCAATGGTTCTAGAGGCGGAAGAAGATATGAAGTTAGAAACCATGGTAGTGTGACTAAGTGGCATCACAAATGAAAATTCAAGTGAAGAATGAAAAATAAACGGAAATGTAAGGAAGCAGGGCTATAGAGATGCTAATATATAACCCTGAAAAAATGCTGAAAAAAAAAAAAAAAAAAAAACCCAGAATGAATAGGACCAGAGTTGAGTCATCTGAGGCAGGCCACATTGAGGATGTACATCTTAAACAGGCAGAGAGTAACTTGCTTAGCAGAAGGGATCCAGCAGGGAGGGCATTCCAGCCAGAAGGAATTGCATGCGTGAAGGCTTAGAGGTGGGAGCAAACAGTCATGTGCCTTGTAAGACAGAGAATCCAAGCAGGGGTGAAATCTGAGATGGGTAGAGCAGATAGCACCTGCCAAGGAGAGATTGGAAAGGAGAGGCTAAGAAGCAACGGACTTTTTAGGGTGTTATTTTGTAAGCCAATAATAAAATAATCAGGTGAGCAAGTTGCATATTAAATTTGATAGAAAGATGATGAATGCAGAGTGGGCTATTAGGCCTCTGTTATCTATGCATATGTTATGAAGCGCAAAGGATTTCTGACCTCCTCTCTTTAAGAGAAATCAAAAGGAATTGTGAAGGCATAAGATTATTCGGTCAGAAAACTAGTAGAGCCCTTCAAATTGAAAAAAGAAATAGGAAAAATTTATGAATTTGAAAATATGTCCATACTTTATATATTAACTTAAGATGATATTATATATGTGGAAAACAACAGAGCAAGAGGATTGTAATCAGAAAAAAATGGGGGCTGGGCGTGGTGGCTCACGCCTGTAATCCCAGCACTTTGGGAGGCCGAGGTGGGTGGATCACAAGGTCAGGAGATCGAGACCATCCTGGCTAACACAGTGAAACCCCATCTTTACTAAAAATACAAAAAATTAGCCGGGCGTAGTGGTGGGTGCCTGTAGTCCCAGCTACTTGGGAGGTTGAGGCAGGAGAATGGCGTGAATCCAGGAGGCGGAGCTTGCAGTGAGCTGAGATTGCGCCACTGCACTCCAGTCTAGGCCACAGAGCAAGACTCCCGTCTCAAAAAAAAAAAAAAAAAAAAAAAAAAAAAAAAATGTAGGTCAGTTGTGATGGTTGAAATTGAGAATGGTCCTGGAAAAGTTGATGGAAACAAATCATAGTTCAGAGAAGTCAGTGGGTAAAACAGACAAGTTGATGAGAAGGGAGAGAATAGGTTAAGTGTGCTCAAAGGAAGTCCCAGGTTTGAGACCCTCTGGATTTAGACACTAGTTTGGAAGTAATAGAAGAAATAACAAAACAGAGGAAACGTGACAGAATTGGACATATTTCATAGTACAAACATTGGGAACTAGGGAGTATGCTTTCTGTGGAGGCAGAGAGCAACTTCAATAGTACTATTTTTTGTCCCACTAAGTAACTGAAATTATGTTCACTGAGCTTTCTTTTAATAATTTGTACTCTATTTCTCCATCATTCTTTTCTTCATGCACATCATGCTACAGATGTTAAGCCCATACCTGTCTATATCACTTAGTGGTTCCCAACCTTTCATTTGTTTATTTTTAGTCCAAATGTATTGCCTTAGACCGTATCATTCTACAGATTGATCACATGAATACCTACTAAATGTCAAGTTTAAAGAAGACACAGATAAATAAAATACAATCTGTTTCCTCCAAGATGTGCAAGATAGGAAAGAGACAGAATGCAAAGGAGTTACAGCAGTGCAGTATAAAGTGTGCAGAAGCATAAGTGGGTATTGAGCTCTGTTGGATCACAGGACAGTGGGTAGTGAACTCTTCCTGGTATGATTCTCACAGACTTCACAGAGGACATGGCATTTGAGCTACACATTGAAGGCAGAGTAAGTGTTTTCCAGATTGGAGAGGATTGGAAGGACTTTCCAGCAGCCAAAAAAGCATGTGCAGAAACCTGTGAATCGTTAATAATTTGATGGCGAAGGGTATTTGGAAAGAGGTAGCCAGACAGGTGGTTGGACAGATGAGTTAAGACCCCACTGTAAAAGAGCCTTGCGTGCCTCACTTTGGAGTGGGCAATGAAGAGCCACCAGAAAACTTTGAGCAGGGCAGTTAAGTGACTAGATCTTTGTTTTAGAAATAGAATTCTTGAGAAGTTAGGAGGTGAAAATAAAGGAAACAAGACAGAGGACAGGAATCCAGTTAGGAGTCTACTGCAGTTTTCCAGATTAGGAATGGTAAAAATGTGAACTAAGGCAGTTTCAGTGAGGATGAGAAAGTTGGTAGGGATTCAAAAGACATTTACAAGTAAATTTGATAGACTTTGACAGAGATTTGATATGGGGAGGGGGTAAATAAATGGAAGATGATTTTGAAAATTTTAACTTGAGTTCCTAAGTTAATGATGATGCCTGTAATTAAAATGTGTAGGTCATGAGGTTTCTGTAGAATATAATGAGGGTAGAAACTTTGCCTAAATTGCAAAAGACATCTGCACATTTACTTCAATTTCATTACTCCAGCCACTGATAAAACTATGAAATAATGCCAGACCTAGTCCTAAACTCTTAGGGATATTTTACCTGATTATTGGCTTGAATTTTTTATTCTGTAGGCTTGGCTCTTCAGCTAGTTTTCTCTAATAGTTTACAG